TACCCCTGCGAATCATTGCCACGGAGGGGGGGGGTCTTTAAGGGGGGCCCCTCTTTTTTCGGGGGGGGGGGTAGGGGGCAAGCAGACGGTGCCCTCTGTTAATGTCATCGTCTTCGTCGGTCGCCCGCAGCGTCGATTGAGGTGTTGACAACAGGAGGCGATTGAGCTCACCACCAACGCAGCTTCGCGTAGCGACCGCGAGGCGCTTTGCGACTCGTGCACGATTTGGGATGATTGATGATTCACGCGCGATTTGATGGGGCGACGTTTGGTGGTGATGGATGTCGATTCGCGGGTGATGGTTTGTGATCGATGATTATAGTCGATTGATGATGATTTCTGATGACGTACGGACGATGACCGATGATCGATTATTTATGGATGATGATTGATGGATTGTGATTTATGGATGTCGATTGATGATTTGAGGATGTTTATGGAGGATTATATATGACTGTGATGATTATTACACGATTTATGGATGATAACTGATGATCGATTAATGATAATTTATGGATGATGATTGATGGATTGTGATTTATGGATGTCGATTGATGATTTGAGTATGTTTATGGAGGATTATATATGACTGTGATGATTATTACACGATTGATGGATGATAACTGATGATCGATTAACGAATCTTTATTTAATGATTGATTGATGGATTATGATTTATGGATGTCGATTGATGATTGGGGTTGTTGATGGAGTATTATAGATGACTGTGATGATTATTACACGATTTATAAATGATAACTGATGATCGATTAATGATAATATATGGATGATGATTGATGGATTTTGATTTATGGATGTCGATTGATGATTGGGGTTGTTGATGGAGTATTATAGATGACTGTGATGATTATTACACGATTTATGGATGATAACTGATGATCGATTAACGATTATTTATGGATGATGATTGATGGATTGTGATTTATGGATGTCAATTGATGATTGGAGGATGTTGATGGAGGATTATAGATGATTGTGATGATTATTACACGATTTATGATCGTTATACATGCTTGATGGATGATGATTGACTATGGATGAATGATTTATGCTGATGAATGGATGATGATGATGATGAATTAATTATGATGACTTATACATGAGTGATGGATGATGATCAACGATTGATATTGATGGGTGATCGTTTTCAGATAATCATCGATGGATGATTACTTCCGCATGATTGTGATTTACGAATTCTGATATACGAATAACGATTGGTAGATGGCGGATAATTGATGATGACTTACACATGATTGAAAGCTGATTATTGATTATATTATGGGTCGTTGATAATTTACAGATGATGACTTATGAACGCTGATCGATCAATGGTGATATAGGGATGATGATGATTTTTGTTTAAGATTGACAGATGACGAGTGATAGAGGATTATTGACGACTGATGATCGAATATCTATTTATCGATTGATTGATCATGATTTATTGATGATGATGATGAATTATGATTCGAAATTTCTATGTTCATTATGACGTCAGGCCTTGCGTCACGTCGGTGACAACGCATGGTGAGCAGCGGACGTCGAATCGGCGTCGCTGTGAAATCTTTGGCTCTGTCGGTAAAGTCACGTGGTTCGGTTCAAAGAAAATAGCAAAAAAATAACAACAAAAAACTACGACGTTTCGATCGCAACACAAGCGGCTCGTGGGACTTGTTTTGACCACAAATCACCGCGCTGTTCAGTGCGGGTTGGTGAAGACCGGCAGGCACTGATGTTGGACAGAGTATACGTCCATGCGTCTCATGCTGCTGACACACGTTGTTACTGCACCGCCTTGCCTATGAAACGTATTTGCACAAACATGTTTTTATATTTTACAAGCGACTTGTTTTGTCTAAATGTTGTGAAACAGACCCGGTCTGTTTATGAATGACGTAATTTTATTGGCACATAGTAAGTAGCCTCTTAAAAACAATGTCACGTGATATTCTTTGGGTCTTTCGGTAAAGTCAAGTAGATAGGTCCACATTAAATAACAAAAACTTAAAACTACGACGTTTCGATCGCAACACAAGCGGTCGACCCGTTGTAATTTTTGTTATTTTCTTTGAACCTCTCTACGTGACTACCGAAAGACCCAAACAATATGAATTCCTGCAGTCACGAAAGTCAATGTCATATGAGCCTGGTTATTTGCCGAGAATATGGTCTACCGATCTTGCAGCATGTTCTGAAATACAGGCACGGACAAACCAGATACAGGCAGTCATCGACTTACAAACATTCGACTTGCGAACATCCAAACTTAAGAACCAGCAAACCGGTTCGTAAGTGAACCCCAAAACTATTTTGTTCAGCGGAGCGATCCTCCGCGATATTTAAGTCAGCCTCGCGCAGCCCGAGTTCCGTTCCCGCTCAGGGCTAGCATCGGTGACGATTAGCTGAACCGGTCATGGGCCTCCCGTAGGTCGACTCAGCCTCAAATAAGTACCTGATGTGGCGCGTAAAAATATCGCCACTAGGAAGACAAAAGTGGTCGGGCGTGGTATTGGACACCCACCCGCTCGTGTATCGTTCGGGCCTTCATAGGTGCACTTGCCCCAACAGTCTGTTCAGCCTACGTGTGAAAGTGAGTGTGTCTGTGAAAGTGAGTATATGCACCTAGTGAGTGTGTGTGTGCACCTCGTGAGTGTGTGTGTGGGGAGCGGCAGTGAAATGTTTATCACGCTGCGCTACCAACCCGGCGAACCGAGTTCGATTCGCGCTCACGGCCAACACCAGTGACGATTGTCTGAATGGCTCCTGGGCCTCCCCTAGGTCGACTCAGCCTCAAATGAGTACCTGGTTCGGTGTGTAAGCATGTCGTTGGGGTGTGTGGCCGTGCGTCTGTGTTCGTGTCTGCGCGTGCTAGCGCGTGCCTCGTGTGTGTGTCTGTCTTTGTGTCTGTGATGTTCATAATCAATGTTTTTGGGTTAGATCACGTTATTTATAAATGTGTCGTAACCCTCCACCACCCGACACGGCCAATCAGCAAAAAAAAATTGTAAATGTTGTGGTTTCACGCTTCAACACACCGGTGGGCTAAAGCAGTGAACTATTTGTCTTTTGTCAACATGACACTTTTTTGTCGATTGGCCGTTTCGGGTGGTGGAGGGTTACGACACATTTATAAATAACGCGATCTAAACCCAAAAACGTTGATTATGAATAATATTGGTCGCGAAAGCCTACCACGTGTTAAACTGTCTGTGATGTCTTTGTCTCTGTGTCTTTGTTTTTTGTGTTCACGGGCGCGTGCGTGCCCCGTGTGTGTGCGTGCAATTGTGGTGGCTCATGTCGCCCCTTCCGACAAGTAAGCCAGAATCAGGACTCAAGGTAAACAAAAATGAAATTGATTTTTAAAATCATTTGTTACTTTGTTTATTTACTGTACAGTATTGTTTAACAGTGTTACATGCAAATGTATTTTTTCTTATTTATGAGTTTAACAATGCTTCATGTTTTTTGTTGAACCGTAACACATAACACTGACCACATGGGCATTTAAATATAGTACATTGAATGTGTTCCGACTTACGAACCGTTCGACTTACGAACGGATCTCGGAACGTATTGTGTTGGTAAGTCGAGGACGACCCTTTATGACCCAGTATATGATGCATTATCATCAGAGGGTGGAGCGGTGGCGCAGATGTTTGAAGCGATTATGGGCGCCTCCACTTTCGCCAACACGCACTGAACGTGGTGAAGTATGGTCTATGGAGGCGGGGGGGGGGGCTTTTATCCAGCAGTAGATTGACAATGGCTTAATAGAGCATAAGTGGATGAACGCACATATTTTACACGACGGTATATGACCATATTCTAACAGATTATAGGACGCACTTTTTGAATGCAGTGTGCTGTGTAAAATGGGAACTCTTTTTTGTCAGAGAGCATGTTTAGTTTGCAAGTTCATCATAATAACACGCGTGGTTAATGCAGTCGCGATTCCTTGCAAAAATAAGGTTAATATTTGATGTTTCAACGTCTTAACACAACTTGTTTAATTGCCAGACGGGGTAAAGCCTCCTCTTAATATTTTCACAGTGTGCTGTATTTTAAACCAAAAAGTTGTCGGTGCGCGCCTTACACTCCCGGCAGCTGCGAGTGTGCGGCCAGATCTCTGCGACTTCCCTTATCGACGGCCCGGCACAACATCTTATTATTATTAGTTTTGTGTCAGCTGCGCTTCAGACTTTGCGCGGAACGTCGAACATTCCGACATGAACACCGCGCCGCGTGGCGAACAGCGCACCGGCAAACGGCCCCCAACGGCGACGCTTGAATTGCAGGCCAAATCCACGCGTGCTTAACTTGTTTTATTTTACCCCATGGGCGTAAAAAGACACACAAGACCCACGAAAGAAATGTGGCATTCCATAACCCCCCGGGGCCGCAAGTCAGTCACACAACCGACTGCTGCTGCTGCCGCCATATGAGGTCAAAAATGCGCGCGCCTGGCTTTGGAATCTGACGCAGTCCTCGACGGACACGTGTGCACTCGGCGTATAATGCGCGACACGATGATGGGAGGTATGTCGGAACCGAACTAGCATTGATCTCATCGCACGGCGCCGCTGCTGCGTTGCCAGCGATACGAGAGCACAATTAGCAACAACAACAACAACTACGAAGCAACTCGACGCAATAACATTGCATTGAAAAAGTGAAGGAAAAAACGATACAATAAGCGACGTTCCGGCCAGTGACCCTGTTTCATAGCGCAAGAAGGGGGGGGGGGGCATTGCCCGAGACTTCAATGTTATATATTTATTTAAGATAATGCAGTTTTATTGACGGATGTTGACTTTATTATTTAACTATTTGGGCGTCAACCCGTAGCCGAATCCACCCGCTAGAGGACGTCTTGCTTTAAGGTGCTTCTTCTAATCCCCCGCAAAAAACAACAAACTACGACGTGATTTCTTCTGTTTCTCTCTCTCTCTCTGCCCAAAAAAAAAAATCCACAACAGCGGTTGGTGGGATGGGCAAAATTCCACCGAAGGACCCCCTCCCTCCCTCCCGATCTCGTCCGCGTTCCCGGACGTACCCAGCACAGGAAATGACTGCACAGCGCCGGACGAACGCGCAGTCGGCCAAGGGAAGTTGCGCACCCACCCGCCCGCCCGCACCCACCCGCGTTTGCGGATACTGCATTTGCATCATCGGCACGGGCACCGACGACACGCATTGTGCGGGACAAAGGATCTAACCCACGCACACACACCCACACACACTCGCGTACACACACGGGGCTCTGCATCGTACACACACCGCTCACGGACACACGCACACGCGCCACGCCACGCGCGTGCACAACACGTGTCACAGCAGAAGGAGCCACAGCGACTTTGCAGATCATCCCGAGTGGGGGGGCGGCGGGCGGGGGAGGGGGCACATTTTTATTTGGTGGCGGCGAATCATCATTTCAAAAGAAGTGTGCTCCAGAGTGGTGCCGTGCGAGACGAGGTCGCGTCTGAATCCACCACGATGTTGACCCGGGCAGGCAGAGCGCGTCCGTCGCAGACGCCGCTGCTGCTGCTGCCCGCAGTGCTGGTTGTGGTGCTGCTGGTGGTGCCAGTCGGTGGCGCACAGGATGGAGGAGGAGGAGGAGAGTGCCACGCCGCTTTCGACCTCTACTTCGTACTGGACAAGTAAGAGTGGGACTCGCCGGAGATGAGAGGCGGGGGGGGGTGTCAGCAGTTTGGGTGCGTTGAAGTTCTCTCGCACCGGCACTTTTAAATCGTGCCAGATTGAAACGTCGTTTGGTAAGAACTGCTTTGTTTTGTGTGTGTTCGTTTGTTGCCCTTGCCCCGCACCTCCGACTGACACGGTTGGATAGTACGGTGCGGAAGAAGTTCAATATGCACAGTGCATAGATGCCGTGCGTAGCCAACCTGGGAGGTGCGGGAGAGGGACAACAAACAGAACACACACACTGTACACACAAACTAAACACAAACTAAACACACAAACTAAACACACAAACTAAACACGCAAACTGAACACGCAAACTAAACACACAAACTAAACACACAAACTAAATACAAACTAAACACACAAACTAAACACACAAACCAAACACACAAACTAAACACACAAACTAAACACACACACTGTACACACAAACTAAACACAAACTAAACACACAAACTGAACACACAAACCAAACACACAAACTAAACACACAAACTAAACACACAAACTAAACACACACACTGTACACACAAACTAAACACAAACTAAACACACAAACTGAACACACAAACCAAACACACAAACCAAACACACAAACTAAACACACAAAATAAACACACAAACTAAACACACAAACTAAACACACAAACTAAACACACAAACTAAACACACAAACTAAACACACAAACTAAACACACAAACCAAACACACAAACTAAACACACAAACTAAACACACAAACTAAACACACAAACTAAACACACAAACTAAATACAAACTAGACACACAATCTGAGCACACAAACTAAACACACAAACTGAACACACAAACTGAACACACAAAATAAACACACAAACTAAACACACAAACTAAACACACAAACTAAACACACAAACTAAACACGCAAACTGAACACACAAAATAAACACACAAACAAACCACACAAAATAAACACACAAACTGAACACACAAACTGAACACACAAACTGAACACACAAACTAAACACACAAACAAACCACACAAACAAACCACACAAACTAAACACACAACCTAAACACACAAACTAAACACACAAACAAACTGAGCACAAAAACAAAACGCAGTTCTAAACAAACGAGTTTTCGCATCGGAGACAAAGTTAACGACACCTCGGAATAGTGTTAAACTTGTCAAACAGTCTTCGACTTACGAACATCCGACTTACGAACATCCGACTTACGAACACCCGACTTACGAACAACCGCAACTTACGAACCGGCTTCCACGAGATATGTTTTTGTTTAACATTGACTTGCAAACGGGAACTCGGACTGATGAACAATTTCGTTTAGCGAGGCGATCTTCCGCGAGATGTAATGAGTCAGGAACTTTATTTATCCTGGATAATTCCTGGTGAGTGTGTGTCTCTGTGTGTGGGGAGCGGTGGTGTAGTGGTTAGCGCGCTGTGCTATGAACTTGACGCGCCGGGTTCGATTCCCGCTCACGATCAACACCAGTGACAATTATCTAAGTGGGTTCTGGGCCTCCCCTAGGTCGACTCGGCCTCGGATGAGTACCCGGTGTGGTGTATGGTAAACATCGCCACGAGGGAGTCAAAGGCGGCCAGGCATGGTGCTGGCCACCCACCCCCTCGTGTGTTGTGCCGGCCTTCATAGGTGCTACAAAGGCTATACAGGGGAGCGTTGTTGTGCGTGGCGTGCTCAATTGTCGGGACTTATTGCGTCCTTCCCGACATACAAGCCAGCATCAGGACTCAAAGAAAGTTAAAATCAAACCGATTTGTTTTCCGATTTATGTTACTTAATGTCCGTCTTTTATTGCAATATTGAATACAAATTTAGACTATTTCTTAGTCATGAGTTTAACAATGCTTCCATTTTTTGTTGAACCGTAACACTGGCCGTTTGTTCGTTTAAAAACGGTACAGTTTCATGTTCCGACTTACGAACACGCACACTTACGAATGGTGCGTAAGTCAAGGACTTGTATATACATAGGAGCCGTGGTTTGCGTGTTTTGGCAGGACTTTGTTAAAAGGTGGCTTCTTGTTGTTGTTACTGCTGCTGATGATGATGAGCATAGTAATACACCTCTGGTAGTGGTGGCGCATTGGTTCGCGCACCGCTCTCTGAAGGGCCGTCCAGAAATGACGTCACGCACCTGGGGGGGGGGGGGGTCAGACATTTGTGACGATGTGTGACGACGGGGGGAGGGGGGGTGAGAAATGTGACGTCACATCAAAATGCGCAACTTTAAATAAATCTAGACAACACGTTCTACTTCATTAAATGACTTTTTTTAAATAAATGTTTTCTACTACAACATCAGCGTGCAGCGCCACATTAAATACGCACTACAATGACAATAGTTTAAAGCGATTTGAAGCATGTTTTTGTGGGGGGGGGGGGCAGAGCTTTGTGACGTCATATTTGAGGGGGGGAGGTCTGACTTTTTGTGACGTCGTGTGACGAAGGGGGGGGGGGGTAAAAAATCGTCCAAAATCGCGTGACGTCATTTATGGACGGCCCCTTATATTTATATAGGTCGGCTCGGCGTTTTCAATGAGTTTCTGGTGCCAGTCGTGTGTGGGCATCGACACGGAGGAGACGTGGTGCCGGACCACAGCAGTTTGCCGTTCAATGCGTTGTTCCAGGTCTTTATAGGTGCTCGCTAACAATAACTTCTTGCCACTGCAGTCTCCCTGTAAGCTGGGCTGCCCCTAGGGGGGGGAGGGGGATTATTACATCCGTCATGTATGCACATTTGTTGAACTTCTCTCGCACCGTACCTAGCCGACCATGCTAATCGGAGGTGCGGGGGGAGGGAAGGACAACACACGAAACACTAAAACGCAGTCCTAAAAAAATTCGTTTAAACATCTAGATCATTTAAAAGTGCATGGCTCCAGTGGCTTCCTAATATCGGGCGGAAGAGCGTTCCAGACGGCCGCAGAAGCGCGTCTGAAAGCGACCGCGATGCGTGTGACCGTCTTTGTTCGACGGTTATAGCCAAACGCTGCTTCTGAGTGCGCCTGGTGGTTTGTGCTCTTTGAGCAGATCGTCAAGGTGTTGTGGGTCACTTGTGGCAAGCACTTTGTGTGCAATGAGCACGACCTTTTATCTTATTAGTTCGGCGGCCGGAAGCCACGGCAACTCGGCGACACAGTGACGTCAACGTGCTGCCCCCCCCCCCCCCAATGCTTTGGGACCCCCCCAATGCGCGTGGCCCCCCAATGCGAGGGGCCCGGGCCCCCACCCCAATGCGCCCCCCTCCCCTCCCTGATGCTTTTGGACTCCTCAATGCGCGTGGCCCCCCAATGCGAGGGACCCGGGTCCCCACCCCAATGCGCCCCCCTCCCCTCCCCGATGCTTTTGGACTCCTCAATGCGCGGGGCCCCCCAATGCGAGGGGCCCGGGCCCCCACCCCAATGCGCCCCCCTCCCCTCCCTGATGCTTTTGGACTCCTCAATGCGCGTGGCCCCCCAATGCAAGGGGCCCGGTTCCCCCCCCCCAATGCCCCCCCCCCCCCCCCCAATGCGAGGGGCCCGGGGTGATCGCCCCGATTTGCTTTACCCCTAAGAGACACGGCTCTGCGTGGTCACAGCGCTAATCTCTCCGGCATCTCGCCGCCGGAAACGCCCCTCCTCTGGGGGTTCGCGGGCCCAGCCAGAGGGGGGTTCGAGCCCAGTTTGTGAGAGAGGGCGGATCGCAGCGGCCGATTTGCCTTTCGAATGCAGAGCTCCCTGGAACGCCGATTTTTCGAGAGGAAAAGAGCTGTCAACAGGTCGGAGTTGTGTTAAGTCGCCCGAATGAGCAAATCTGAGAGGTGGTTTGATTAGACACACGTGCCCTAAGGGCATGCCTTCCAACAACGCGTTGGTATCATACTTCATACTCATCACTATTAGAAAAACAAGTTTTGCTGGCTGGCTGGCTGACTGGCTGGGAGGGAGGGACGGACAGACGGTCACGTCCAAATGAGGTACGGGTTGCTAGTTCCTATCAAGAACAAAAAAAAACACGACGAGTCAGCATCATCCAAGGGTCGGAATCCTTAAGGTCCACATGTCCGTAGTTGTATTTTCTTCTTGTACGAAACCAACACGCATCCCCTCCACTCTTCTCTCGTCACCCAACCCCCCTTCCCGTTGCGATCCGCCTCGATTCCCTTCTCAGAGACAACGGATAAGAGATGACATCTACGGTAGAACGGTCCCTCTGGCTAATCACTGCGATTCCATTACCCCTAACATTAGCTGCTCACTGTGTGCCAGTGTGTAACACGGCCACACTTATCCGTGCCACGACTTAGAA